TGCACACCTGTAATCTCAGCATTGAGGATGTGGAGGAAGGAAGACCGGGAGTTCAAGGCCATCCTCAGCTAGGTTCTAGGCCAGCCCGGGCTAAATGAGAACCTATCTCAAAGAAAAAAGAAAAATAAATAGGCCCAGAGTGGGACTCCAAGGCATGCACCTGCAGTCCCAGACACTGTGGAGAAGGAGGCCAGAGGATCGCTTGAGCCCTGAAGTTCCCAGGCAACCAAGGAACACAACAAGACCTGTCTCAAACACCCGAAAGAAACTGACCTAGGTTCTGACTGTCTCCTGATCCTGCAGAAACACTGCTTCCTTACTTTGGACAGATGGATGGCAATTTATTTACCTATTTGTTCAGTGCACGTGGTTAACCACTAGGCAACAGGCCCCCTAGAAAACCTAACTTTAAACTTTAGCTGTTTAAGTCTCATTGAGAACAGGATGTAAAAGAAGCTATAGTTATGATCAGAGTAGAAACAGCACTAGTCCTTTGGTGTACTTCTGTGTCTGCTCTCCCAAAGGCACCAGCACTGTTGGCTTTGTCTCTTGGGAATGCTGATTCCATTTCCCTGGTACAGGTTAAAAAGACCCCAGAGTCTTTCCAATTTCAAGTGGGCAAGAGACTGTTCTAGAGGCCTAGCTACTAGGCAAATGTTCCTTTTGTCTTTAAGTGCTTCACATTTTCTTATCACTAGAAAGGAAATACACAAAGCGCTCATTGTGGGGTGCATGGCCAGAAGAAGAGGCTGCCTAGCTTGTTTTAGACAGCTTGAAGCCTCCAGGCAAAAGTTCTCTTGGCCCCTTGCAAGTTTATTATAGTTAGAGAAGATATTAGGGCTTCAAGGGAAAGTCTAGCAATAATAATCAGAGACTTAGGGCTGGAGAGATGGCTCAGTGGTTAAGAACAGGCATTGCTCTTCCTGAAGACCAGAGTCTGTTTCCCAGCAGCCATGTTAAGAATAACTCCAGAAGGGTCTGGTTAAAGAGGAGCCTTGGAGTCGGCACAGAACACACCCAGACACCAAACTCAGCACAAATGAGATTTATTACCCCAGAGGGACTTGGGGGCTGGAGGAGCTCTCTGGATCAGGCAAAGGCGGGAGCAGATGTTTCTGCGGGAGGGGGTTTTTAAGGAGAAGGGGGAAGCCTGTGCTAGAGTGAGCTGGTAAGTCCTGATTGGACATGTTAGTCAGTGTAGCCAAATAATGAATTTTGATTGTCAGGCATGAGGAAGCAGCCAAACAAGGGAATAGACCTTGGCGGCTAGCTGTAGGGATGGAATCTAACCGTTTAGCAAGGGAAGAGGAGAGGGCAAGACCTGCTGCCAGGCACCATGTTAGCATGCTTGGGCCCGATGGTCCTTCACTGATGGTGCCTCTTGTCTCTACAGGTACCTGCACTCACATGCACATACCTACACGATTAAAAATAGTAACAATAAGCCAGGCATAGTGGCGCAAACCTTTAATCCTAGCACTCGGGAAGCAGAGGCAGGTGAATCTCTGTGAGTTTGAGGCCAGCCTGGGCTACATAGTGAGTTCCAGGACAGCCAGAGCTACATTGTTAGACCCTGTATTGAAAAAAATTAATTAATATTAAAAATCATTTTAATTAAAAAATAATCAGATACTTCTTTCAAGGTGAAGTTTTCTGTGTTCTTATCAACCATTCTGGAGCCAGGTCATCAGTTAGCCACCTTGAGAAGATATATCATGACAGAGGAAGATATGCAACAGGTTTAGGGGTCTGGGGGACACTGTGAGGCAGAGAAGAAACCAGAAGTGGTGGCCCTGTGAAGGAGCGAGGGAAGGGATAGAGTAAGAATCCTAGGCTTCTGTACAAATTTAAGGAGACTCAGCTAGGCTGAATGGGAGTGTTGAGCCCCTGAAAGGAACTCCCATCTTTCTTGGTAACTAGTCTGCATCCTTATCTTTTCTGTGTGTTCTCGGCTCCTGGCCAGGAACAGCAAGTGCAAAGCTTGGCTTTGGCAGGATACAGTGTTGAACTCAGAGTGCAGAAGCCAGGGATGTATGTAGACTGAACTCACTGAAGAGAGACATCTGAGTCACTAGTGTTGGGGCTACAAATCCTGTAGAGAAGACAAGTCTTTGGATGGTCAAGGATCCAAGGCTCTAACCAGATATCAAGACTGCCAGACATAAGATATAACTGAGTGAATCCCATCACGGTCTCTGTTTCAGGCTAACTGCCAGGGTAGCTGCTGGCTACATCACAGTGTCCCCTTTATGAGGAACCAGGAGAAACAGCTCCTGTGGCCAAGAGCCAGGCAAAGCTATTTCTTCTGGACAGCCGGTAAGTTCTCTCCTTGTGGACACATGGGTTTTCTGGCTGATATCCTATAGTTACTATATGGATGCTAAGACCCTGATTTGGAGTCTACCTCTAACCTCAGGAACTTTCCTTTTCCAAGTATCACCCTTTATCTTCCTGATATCCATAGTCAACACTACTGTTCTCTATAACCCATCTATGAAATACAGCCAGAAATGACCACCTTAACCTAAGCTGCTACCACTTAAAGCCAGACTTTTAAATACTCCAGTTTATTCGTTTTATAAAACCTTGAGATTCTCTGAATCTCAAACAGCATTGTCTCATGGAGATGGGATTTAAGCTACATGTAAGATACACAAAGGATATATGTAAGCTATGTGAAGACCAAGGTCAGAAGAATCTTTAACCTGTCTTTATATATTTGCTTGGCTAAAAGTTTTGTAGCTCCTGGATATTTCTGATACAAGCCTTACTTGTAAATGGAGGGATACAGTCTACTAACAAGTATAATGACAGTAAAACTGGGAAGATTGTGTGTGTATGTGTGTGTGTGTGTAAGCATGTGAGTGTGTGTGTAAGCCTGCGTGTGTGTGTGTGTGTGTGTGTGTGTGTGTGTGTGTGTGTGTAAGCATGTGAGTGCAAGTGCCCACAGAGTCCCTAAGAGGGCATCAGACCCCCTGAAACTAGAGTTACAGGCAGTTGAGAGCTCTCCCTTGTGGGTGCTGGAAACCAAACTGCAGTCCTCTGAAAAAACAGCAAGTCTGCACCATCTCTCCAGCTCCAGATTTCAAGGAATTTTAAAAGCTTTTCTGTGTTACTTTTTCTTCTCTGGCCCATCCACCCTTGGCTCCATCTGAGAAACATGTAATACAGAGTGGTAATATATATCTAGTAAGAAAAAAGGAAACATACATTTTGTGTATTCTGTACTTCTTATAGGGACTACTTAGTAGGCTACTTTAAGTTACTAAGAAATTAGAGTGTTACTATATTGGGGCAAATATATATATTATTAAAATTATATATTAAATATATATTTATATTTAATTTATATATTTATATTATTAGATATTATATAAATAATGTATATATTATTTATATATAAATATATAATTAAATATAAATTAAAATAATATATTATTAAAAATTACTCAAGAGCTGGTAAGATGGCTCAGGCTTGCTGGACATGCCTGAAAATTTGAGTTCCAATCCCAGGACCCACATGAAGGTAGACGGTGGTAAAGACTATTAATTCAGAAATTCTTAACCTGGGGTTTTTAAGATCCTGGTATAAGAATAAAACTGAAGTAGTGTTCCTAAAATTTGACTGATGTGTGGTGGTGGTGGTGGTGGTGGTGGTGGTGGTGGTGGTGGTGGTGGTGGTGGTGGTGTGGTAGTGGTGGTGGTGGTGGTGGTGGTGGTGTGGTGGTGGTGGTGGTGGTGGTGGTGGTGGTGGTGGTGGTGGTGGTGGTGGTGGTGGTGGTGGTGGTGGTGGTGGTGGTGGTAGGGGGTGGTCATATGTGCATTTTTTACTACCCTTTAAGCAAAATGTAGCACTTCCTTCCCTAGTGGAAATAGGCAACCGTGCATAGAAGTATTAGAAGCTGCCACTTTGTACCAGTAGAAGTCACCAAAATATTCACAGTACACTTAAGATATTTATTGCCTTTCTTAAATTATAGTAATGGGGCTGGAAAGACTGCCCAGAAGTTAAGAGCACTTGCTGCTCTTGCACAGGACCTAGAGGTTCAGTTTCTAGGACCCACATGGTGATTCATAACCATCTCTAATTCCAGTTCCAGGGGATACGACGCCCTCTTCTGGCCTCTGTGGGCACTACACACACTAAACCACATAAAAAAAATCTCTCTTTTAAAAAAAAGAATTATATTAGTGATTAGACCTACTGCTACATCTTATTGAGTAGCTTGCTAAACGGTCACATACTATGTTACCAATTTATGGCTTCTAATGTCTTATATCAGGTTCCCAAAATTATTCCAACACGAAGTCGATAGGCCTGGCTCACAGACAGATTAATAATCCTAAATTTTAGTCTATTTCTTTAGTCTAGAAAGCCTGCCTAGGTAATGCATAGATGAGCCGGCTCCCTACTGTCCGCTGATGTTTCTGCATGGTTCCTCTTTAGTTACTTTATCTGCTGCGCTCACCTTCACCTATCAGATACCAGGCACCTACCCTGCTCAGAACCTGCCTTGGACCTTAGGAGGCACCACCGAGGAGAGGTCAGGCGGGTTTTGTAGCGTGTTCATTCCACGCACACCTGACTCTGCTAGAGGCCAGGTCGTGACACCAGGGACAGACGAGATCAAGTTTGGTCCAGATGGCAGCATCCGAATCACTTGGGGCTTGTGAGAACTGCAGATTCCCAGGTGGCACCCACAAATGTTTCGCAAGAGAAACTCGGGGGTCTTAGTGAGAGGCGCCGTCCGTCAACCATGGCGGGAAGAGGTGACGGAGGGCAACGGGAGGTTGGTAGAGGAACGGAGGAGCGGTCCCCGCGAGTCGCAAGTCGAGACCCCCGGGGGAGCGTTCCTCGCCGTTGCATCCGGAAGTCGCTCCACCCGGCGCCTCGGGTGGGACGGACCGCGGCTGCCCGCAGTGGGCTCAGCGCTCCGGGGCGGGCGGCGCGCGCGGTCACGTGGCGGCGGCGCGCGTAGCTAAATACGCGGCGCCGGCCATTTTGTGCGAGAATCCGCAGCGCCGCCTCCCTGCTCGCGCCTCGCCGCCGCTGCCGCCGCTGCCGCCGCTGCCGCCGCCGCCTCTGCGTCTTCCTGCGCACCGGGCTTCCGCCGCTTCATTGATTTCCGTTTCTCGCCGCTGCAGCCTCCTGACACGGTGATCCGGGCGGGCCCCGCAGGAATTTTATCCCCTCACCGGCCTCACACTAGTGTCGCATGTCCACTATCCAGAACCTCCAATCTTTCGGTAAGGTCCAGTCACCGGCCGCCGCCCGCGTCCCGCTGGGCTTTGTCTCGGCGCCCAGAAGATGGCGACGGGGGCTCCCAGAGACCCTGGCCGCGGGGACCGCTCCCTCCCGGCCTCAGACCCGGCCTTGTCTGGGTCTGCTACCCACGGGAGGCCGGGGCTCGGGGAACTTGGCACTGGCCGGAGGACGTGGGCCTCGGGGACTCACAGGAAGGTTGGGGACATGCTAGGGCCGCAGAGAGGACTTGACGTGGCAGGGAGGCCGGGGCCTTCAGAGACTTAGAAGGGGGCTAGAATACTGCAGGGTTGCAGAGACAAGGGCTAGGTAGGGGCTTGCCGGGATTCTGACACGGGCAGGGAACCTTGGACTCTAGGGACTCGCTTAGGGCCTCGGGGCTGGCCAGGGCTTTGCAAGGAGACTGGAGGGGTGGGGCTCAGAAGCTGGGGGAACTTGACAGCTTTCAGGCGACTGGGGGACCCGTGACTCTCAGAGGACTCACAAGTGGGGGGGGGGGCGGTGCTGTTAGCTCAGTCCTTGCTGGAAGACTAGGGATGCTCAAGGTCTAGGGGATCTGCAGCTTCAGTCAGCAAGGAAGGTAAGGGCCAGACCTGGAGCTCGGGGGTTGGGGGTGGGGTGCCTGAGGGACGGACAACTGGCAGGAGCTGGGGGCGGAGCTGGCCTCAGCTGGTTTTGAGCAGCCCTCGGAGGCATCTGATAAGATACGTAGATACAGGCCCCTCTGATTTGACATGGAAGTAGTCCTGTTATCTCTGCTTGCAGCCGTTTGTAAATTACACCTCTTGAGATCGCACATATATGTTTATTTTATTTTGCAAGGCTCGGTTACTAGTTAACTGATTGGGGTGGGTGGTATAGAATGTTTCTGTTGTCAGGATGTCACCTTGGAGATGACGCACCTTCTTGTGGTAGCTATATGAAATCAGGTTTTCGTAAACGTCTTTTGTCTCATTAGAGGATGGCTTCAACAATGGTATTCTCTATTTTTAAGCTGAATATTGGCACACACAGCCTGCTTAGGCTTTTCTCCCTTGGAAAACTTGAAGCAGGAACCCGGGAACCATGGCCGCAGTCTCTCTAGACCTATAGTGGACCACATTCCCAGATAGTACTTCCTAATTTTTTTTCTGCTGTGGATTTTTTCCTGTCCCTCTGCAGACCCCTTTGCTGATGCAACTAAGGGTGACGACTTACTCCCGGCAGGGACTGAGGACTACATTCATATAAGAATCCAGCAGCGCAACGGCAGGAAGACGCTGACCACTGTGCAGGGCATTGCAGACGATTATGACAAAAAGAAACTTGTGAAAGCCTTCAAAAAGGTGATGAGGTCGGGAGCGGGTAGATGGATACCAGTGTGCAGGCGCAGGGAAGCTGTTTTGTTCTCCATCTCAAACTGAGGTTTACCTGGCTTTCAAACCGAAATGTGAACCATTAGTTTTTGCTGTCTCTTCCCCTGATATAATTTCCTTCATTTACAAAGTCACTTAGTTCTGGAGGGCTGGGAGTTCTAGAGGATACTGCTCCTTACTGTAGTCAAGCCGAATGGAGTAGTTACATTTGTTGTAATTAAAACCTCTGCATTTGACTTTGTTGTAGAAATTTGCCTGTAATGGTACTGTGATTGAACATCCTGAGTACGGAGAGGTTATTCAGCTTCAAGGTGACCAAAGAAAGAACATTTGCCAGTTTCTTTTGGAGGTGAGTGGCTGGGTTCTCTGTGTGACCTTGAGATTGCTTCTAAGAACATCTTTAAAGAGACAGGAATCCTTTCCTACTTAGTAAAAACCACATGGCTGAAGTAAATGAAGTGATGGAGGTGATGAGGGTCAATATCGACTGAAGATGGTAAGGCCTCTAGAACTCACTCTATGGCTGGGTGGCCTGGAGACTGCCGTAGAAACAGCACAGGTGTGCAAGTGTGTGTGTGTGGGTGGGGGGGGGGGGGGGTGCCAGCTGCCGGTTGCTGTCGTGATTCTGATGAGCATAGTTTTACTTTACAGGTTGGCATCGTCAAGGAAGAGCAGCTGAAGGTTCACGGATTCTAAGATGAACCCAAACATGTGGCGAGTTTCTTAAATGGTTTTGTTCTCTCAACCTAGTTTGGCTGCCTCGGGGAAGATGATTCTCTACAGTAAACGATGGACTTTGCATTTATTTAATCATTCAGACTTCCACTCACACCTGCATGGCTGCAGAAAACACGGGGTATGTAGGCTCCTGAGCCATAAGAAAATTGCGGTGAGATGGGAACGGAGCCCCAGTTCGTCCTAACATGTTTCCAATGGAAAAGGTTTGGTTTTGAGTGTTTATTGTTCAGTTTATTTTCACTTGATTATTACATGTTTTTTGTTGTTATTGTTGTATTAAACCGTGTATGTTGCAGCTTAACAATAAAAAGAGAGTCTGAGTACTTTTGTGAGCATTCGTGCTCCCAGATCTAAGCCAGTAATGCACTTTTGTGTTTTCATTGCTGAGAAGGAGGAACATGAACTGTCACTCTTTCCTGAAACCTCTAGTGGCCATCAGGAGTTGATCAGCTTCAGAACGTCAACAGGTTGAGAGAGTTCTGTTGCAGCTGCCACGGTGATTGTCATCCCTCGGAGGCGTCTGTCTCAAAATTGCATCAGTCACCGGCACTGCCTTGTAGGTGTGGGTGGTGCTGCCGCAGTCTTCAGGGTGGAGGGCACTGGGCTTCAGGTTAGTACTCCTAGAGTGCTGGACAGTGGCTGAGTTGAGTGCCAGCTGGGGCCTCCCACATGGCAGCCATGCTTCTGCTCTGCAGCAGGGGTGTGCTCTTTACCCAAGGAAGCTGGAGCTGGGGTGACTGTATCAGGTGATAGTAGGCAATGATCGTGAGGTGTCTACGCTCTTTATCCTGTATCCCTGGTGTCTTGTCAAACAATGATCTGCTGGACAGAAAAATATGCCAGGAAACCATTGAGCCAAAGCAAAAGCATTTGTAGTGTGCCCTGCTTCATGTGGTGGGGTGGCAATGTCTTGGTGTCAGCGCCCTGCACCTGGCCAGCCTTGCGCTCCTCTTCTTGTGAGGGCTAAGTCGTAGGCTTGCCCTAGAAAGACTGTACCAGTATGTAAGACCAGTTCTGCACCCTTGAAATGAATACACTTGGACACGTCAGGAGGTTTGGGAGATTTTTCCAGCCTTTTTGGTTGTCTTGTTGATTTTGAAACCTTGATGTCTGGAATTTGGTATGTAGAGCTGCTGGCCCCAAACTCAGATCCTCCTGCCTCTGCCTCCTGAGTGGCTGGGGTTAAAGGTGTGCGCCACCATGCCCAGCTTTTTCCACCATTTTAAGAATTGTCCCGAAGGCAGTGGTGGCACACACCTTTAATCCCAGCATTTGGGAGGCAGAGTGGATCTCTGAGTTTGAGGCCAGCTAGGGCTGCACAGAGGAACCCTGTCCCACAGCGTCTCTACCTCACTTGTCCAGTGCTCCCTGTGGCTCCCTGTGGCTGAAGACTAAAGCAGAAGCTCAGCTTGCAGCAGAGTCCTGTGTGCGTATGTTTGCTGAGCCAGCGCCTAGAAGATTGGCTTGTATTAAGACACAGCAGGCCTTGGAGGTGGGAAGAAAAGGACACCTACTGTTCTGTCACCTGAGAGCAGCAGGCTGTTGGAACAAGGACTGGCTGTGTGCCCTCCTCACTTGTCTCTTGCATAGTGTCTGCAGGTTTACAGAAACCAGTCACAGAAAGGTGGTGAGAGCAATCTTATCCAAACAGCCAGAGCCGGGCCTCAGCTAAGAGACGGGACAGACAGCCCTGTACGTGAGAGACAGACAGGACAGACAGCCCTGTACGTGAGAAACAGAGACAGGACACAGGACAGACAGCCCTGTACGTGAGAGACAGACAGGACAGACAGAGCCCTGTACGTGAGAGACAGAGACAGGACAGACAGCCCTGTACGTGAGAGACAGAGACAGGACAGACAGCCCTGTACGTGAGAGACAGACAGGACAGACAGAGCCCTGTACGTGAGAGACAGGACAGACAGAGCCCTGTACGTGAGAGACAGGACAGACAGCCCTGTACGTGAGAGACAGACAGGACAGACAGAGCCCTGTACGTGAGAGACAGGACAGACAGAGCCCTGTACGTGAGAGACAGGACAGACAGAGCCCTGTACGTGAGAAACAGACAGGACACAGGAGAGACAGCCCTGTACGTGAGAGACAGAGACAGGACAGACAGCCCTGTACGTGAGAAACAAGAGACAGGACAGACAGCCCTGTACGTGAGAGACAGACGGGACAGACAGCCCTGTACGTGAGAGACAGACAGGACAGACAGAGCCCTGTACGTGAGAGACAGACAGGACAGAGACAGGACACAGGACAGACAGCCCTGTACGTGAGAGACAGACAGGACAGACAGAGCCCTGTACGTGAGAGACAAAGTGAGGGTTCCCCATCCCAGTCCTGTTGGAAGACTGTGAGCTGCATTCTCTCTGGTGGTTCGTACTTCAGGGAGCAAAACAGAGTAGTAAGGGCGTGACAGAGACCTTAGCAAAACGATTATGAAAGGAGAGCTTAGGTTGAGGCCCGGTCTAGAGCAGATAGGTCCCTAGGGAGCAGCCTGCCCTACCTACTAAGGGACTCTAGTGGCAAGCTGTTCTCATGAGAGGGGGAGGTGTCCATCACGGAGAAGGAACAGCTCATCCCAGCCATGATGGCAGCTCCCCAGAATCTGAGACACTGGGGGTGCAGCTTCTGTGTCACCAACTGGCCACAGGCTGCAGGAATGAGTATGTGCTTACAGCCCAGGAGACTTCGAGCTCATTAGATCGCCCTCAACACATCTGTTCACCAAGCGAGATACCACACGGCATCCTAGGAAGTGAAGGGCAGCTTCAGTGGCAGGACATTGAAAGTGTGGTCTGGCTGGTGGGCCCTGCTTGTCCAGCATTGACGGTAATGGACGCACGGGGTGGGGCAAAGGCTGCGCGTGAGAGGGTGTGCTAGATGACATGCTATGAGGATCAAAGATGGTGGAGTACACTCCTGTGATTCGGGGGCTGATTGCTGTGGCACATAGCTCTGCTCTTGGCCACCAACAGCATGAGCCTGAGTCTCCTTGTCTTCATCTCAAAATAGTGAGTAGCCTACAAACTCCATGCAAGAAGCAATCAGATCTGGGTGTGGTGGCATATGCCTGTAATTCCAGCACTTGAGAGGTAGAAATAGGATCAAGAGTCAAAGACCAGCCTGGGCTACTGGAGACCCTGTCTCGGACAGCAAGCAATTCCAGAGAGGTACAAAAGGTCAAAGTTCTCGGAGTGTCTAAATGCTCACAGACTGTTCGGGGCAGCCTGGTTTAACCTAGAAAGAATTCGAAGGGTCTCCAGGTTTTCAGCGTCCTAGAAGAAAGTTGGCTTTTACCTCCAGTTTGCTGTTACACATTCTCGCCTGAAAGCCACCCTTGAAGCCCTCTGGGCAAGACATGTAGTCTAGGGAGTGGAGATAAGATTCGTAGTCCATGCTAGCTATGACCAGTGTTACGGGGGACTTACCTGGAAGGAGACAGTATCCCTTGAAGTCAGAAAAAGGCCCTCCATCCCTGGTCACCAGCACCCAGTCTGAACGAGTTTGTGCCATTCACTTGTTAGAAGCTGGGGGAGCTTACATCAGGAAGAACAATGTGCTATTGGAGTCCCTAGCAACCCAAGCTGACCAAGAGTGTTAAAAAGGAAAGGTTGGGTACTTCAAGAGGCGGCTTAAGGCAAGTAGGTGAGCCGTCAGCACCCTCTTGTGGGCACCTAGAAAACTGGCTCCTGGCAGATGCATGAAACCAGAACTCCGTTGTCTGCCATGTGGGTTGTTACACACACTGATCTCAGCCAGTCCTTGTTTACAGTCCATAAAAAGCAATTTTAGCTTGCTGTGTGCTGTGGTTTCAAGAAACGATACAATGTTTACACAGCCTTACCCTGGGAATGTACATAGCCACCACACATGCTATTAGGAAGTTAATTCTTTATCAACAGAGACATTTGTTTATGTCCTCTAGTGACTGAGTAAGCCAGAAAAAAAAAAACAAACTGAGGCTTCTGAGTTGTCAGTAGTAAGTAGGTACAGCCTGGACATTCTCCACCTGACATAGCGTTCCTCAACTTAAGCCTGAGGTTTTACATCCTGAACAGCGCTCCCCATTCAAACCTGTTAGGTCAATGCTGTGGGATGTTCTGTAAGTTAAATGTGTTGCTCTGATTGATTAATAAATAAAACACTGATTGGCCAGTAGCCAGGCAGGCAGTATAGGTAGGACAAGGAGAGAGGAGAATTCTGTGGAAGGCTGAGGCAGAGAGATGCTGCCAGCCACTGCCATGTGGCAACTTATAGACTAATAGAAATGGGTTGATTTAAGATACAAGAACAGTTAGAAAGAAGCCTGCTGCGGCCATACAGTTTGTATGCAATATAAGTCTCTGTGTTTACTTGGTTGGGTCTGAGTGACTGCAGGACTGGCGGGTGAAAGAGATTTGTCCTGACCATGGGCCAGGCAGGAAAACTCTAGCTACAGGCCAACACAGGTTAATGTGTCTTGGCTGTCTGAGCACACCCACCAAAGGTGTTACCTGAAGGATTTGTCTGGGAAAGTGACAGGATTCCCTTAAATCCAAAAGGCTGTTCATAATACATGTTACCTTCCATTTAACACAAATCAGGTACCAGAAAGATGGCTCTTGCTGCTGAGCTTGACAATCTGAGTTCAGTCCCTGGAACCCACATGATAGAATAGCATCGTCCTCCAAATTGTCCTCTGACCTCTGCACACACCCCCAATAAGTAAATGATACACACACACACACACACACACACACACACACACACACACGTTAAGGATGTATATGTATGTGAACACAGAGGAAGACTCATCTGGAAACCCAGTGCAAATCAGGCTCTTCCTCTTCTGGAAATGACACTGTTGGATTCACTGGAGCCAGTGACATCACTAGGTGACACCGATTCCAGAGTGCCCCTGGAGAATCTCGAGAAGTGTTACTTTAATGATGTAGTGACCTTAACAACACACCCTTGGGGCATCGATAGTTTCATCAGGCACTGACCCTCACTGGAAGGAAAGAGGCTGATTAGATTTCAGCATTCACCGGCTATCTTGCCCGCTAGCGTCAGCCCCCACCATTCACACATGTCATGGCCAGCAGAGATCCACAGTCACACCCTTGCAGACATTTATTCTCCCCTGACCCTCATTCCACCCTCGGTATTCGTACCTAGCATGCACAGAGCCCTGGTTTGATTCTCAATACCACATAAACTGGGTATGGTGGCATACACCTGTAATCCCAGCATTCAGGAGAAGGCGGGAAGACCAGACGTTCAAGGTTATCCTCTGCTCCTTAGTGAGTTCAAAGCCAGCCTGGCATACACAAGACCCTGTCGACCCTGTCCTACCTCACTAT